TTATTGCACCTGGCCCTTGGTAACTACGCCAAGTAAAAAAAAAAATGTTTCTGTGCACTGCACACACGAATAAACTATCGTAAAAGTATAAAAATTTGTATGCGTAAAGGGCATCCATTTTGATTAGGAATAAAATCTAACGTTCTAAATAATTGAATTGAAATACTATTGAAAATACAAAAATTGAATGCAGATGAATATATCAAATGGTAGAAGCGATATTTCTCTCATTATTCACGATAGGTACCTAGTAAATAGAGTTCTATATTATTATAGAATATAAATTTGCAATTTCCATTTAAATCAAAATTATTTTCTTACAGCAAATCACTATACCTACCTTCTAACAGGAATATGGTAAGTAGGAGACATAGAATTACATAATAAAATATTATATTATTACAGAAAATATTGGTGATTCTTTTTAACTATAGTACCTAATACTTATTTCTTTTAAAAGTCATTATTATAACTTTTATGATTCCTTTTATGTATGTATAATTAATATTGCTTAATATAGTACATACAATATACTTGTTCAATTATTGTGAGATTGTGTTCCTAATGAATATCTATTAAAAATTGAAATATCCCTTTCTAAAGTGATCGATCATCTTTAAATGTATTATGTGATGTTAAGTAGTAACTGACTTAGATGTGGTAATATAAAGGGACAAACTGAATAAAATAATATCGTTTTTTAATTACTCCTACTTTACAGATAATTCATTTAAACTAGAAACCCTACATAATTAGTAGTAATTTATCCTCTAATTAAAAGGTCATATTAATTGAAACAAATGCTTAACCGACTTTATTTCAAAAAATAGTTTTACATAAACTAATAAATTGCACACGTCATCGTTTTATTTTCCGTAACAAATATATATATAGGTTAACCTACCTATTATTAAATTGTTGTTTAAAAGTTTTTGTTTTATATAAACAGTTTTTTATGTAGGTAAAATATAAAATATATAACTAAAAAAGTATAGAAAATGATTATCCAAATGTCGTACACTTGTACGTAATAGCTTACCGATAGGTATATCATAATAAAGTAAAATAAAAAAGGTGCTCTGCTGTACAGTAGGTTACAAGTGGATCACTGTATAATGGATGGTATTAAATTTGAAGTCAATGATATATATCATTGTATAAGAAAAACGATTCTGAGTGGAGACGGTATATCAGTTTAGGTAAAAGACATATTATATGCTTATCTATGGTATTAAAAAAAAAATTGATAAATAGGTACTTATAATAAATTCCAAATTAATCACATCACAATATCCATTAGGTACTTATAACGCGTTATACATCAACAACAAACCGTGATACTATCATAGATATATAAAAGTACACTTTAGAAGTTTCAAGTACCCGCACGAATAATTTTATACAATCACAACAAAATAACTAAAATAGTTATTCTAGGTATTTTGATATGTAATTTCGTCCAAATTTGAATTTAAAATAATTATTAAAATAAATTGTGCTTGTGTATTTTTTTAGATTTTTTGGTAACATAATTATATACTTACATGGAATCTTGTTTTAAATTTTCAATCCTTAGATATAAAAGTTGAACATTTTATAAATTTTTAACTACAAAATAATTATTCAATTTTAAATTTTATAAATGTTGTCAAAATTCGATCTTTAAATGATTAAAAAAAAAATTGTGCCAATGTATTTTTAATATTTTTCAACTGATATTGTAACAATATATCAGGAGCCTTTTACAAAATGTTTACACTTTTTGGTCCAACAGATAAAACTTATTGATATTTATAGAAAAAAAAAACTAAAAAAATTTAAAACTGAAAATGTCCGTAAACAGCTCAAAAAGAGTCAAAATATTTTCAAAATTGTATGGTGTATATTGCAAATATAAGCAACCAGTGAAAATGTCATGTATATACATTCATTTGTTTTAGAGTTACACCAAAAGCCAAAATCGATTTTGTGAAAAACCGATTTTGCGTAAAAATTCCCGTTTGTTCTTAATTTTTATGTGGTTTTTCCCGGCGCTTGTGAAAACTAATTGGGAATTTTAAAATTTGACCTTGTGAATGCAACAACTAGATTCACTTTCCCATCGAACAAGATACGAACGATACTGTTGAAGAAAATCGAAGCAGTTTTACTGTCCCAAATCATGATGATAGACACAAAAATAAAAATATTAAAAGTTAAACATAAAAAAATAAAAAAGAAACATCATTGTAAAATCAATACATTCATCCGTCTACTCAGAATCTAAAAACGGGTTATTGGATGTCGCTCTGCTGTACAGTGGGTTACAAGTGGGTCAATGTATTAAAGGATTGTATTAAACTTATATAATATCATTGTATAAGAAAAACGATTCTGAGCGGAGACGGTTTGTCAGTCTGGATATTGTTATTATTTATTATATCCTGTAAGTTGAATCTATAATATTACAATAGGTATTAATATTTTTTATTCGTTTCTATGGTGATAAACAAAGCTTTAGAAATTAAAATCCCATTTTTAGTGGTTTTTCCGGTGGCATTAAATAACTATTGAGAAAATCGAAAAATTACCTCCCTAAAGTACCATTTTGATCCAATTTGCTAAAAAATAAGGTACTATATGTTAAAATCGAAGCAATCCTTCTGGTAGATATTTTGTATATAGGATATAAAAAAAATAAAAATAAACACCATTGTAAAACCACTAGTTTCCTCGCTCCGCTCAGAATCTAAAACAGGGCTACTCACTCTGCTATATAGACGTACCTTTATGTAGTAGCTTAAGTTAGGTGAGATATTAGGTTTAAATTTAATCCAACTATTTTGAAAAATGTTACGTGTATAAAAGAGTAGGTAATATAGAAGGATGCGAAAAGTTTCAGACCCAACGAAAAATATTTTTTAAATTACAACAAAATAACTGAAATTTTTATTTTTCGTTTAAATAACAACATTTTATTAAAATGTCAGCATAAAATGTTTATAAAAAAAATGATTTTGTCTATTTTTGAAATTTGTCTACTGAATGATCTTAAGGTAATAAAATATGGATTTTTAATTTTTGAGTAATAACAAAAAAGCAAAGTTGATTTTGTCAAAAACTGGATTTGAGTAAACATTTCCGTTTTCCTAAATTTTTAATTTTTGTCCTGTTATTTTTTACTTTTAACAATAAAAATTGTAATCTGAATTGAATGTTTGTGCGTATTTTTGGAAGACATAATTTCCTAGACAACATTTTGTTTAAAAATATTAATTTAAAAAAGAATTAAAATGTAAACAATATGTATGTTGTAAGTATGTAATATGTTCCACACACGAATAATTTAACCTAATATTTTTTTTTTTTTTTTTTTGTACCTACTAAACATTTTCGAATGTAAGCGACCTTATGAAACTGAATTTTGTATTTACCTGGAAATCACATAAATGCTTGGAAGTTTTTTGCTCTAATCATGACTACTATACATGTAGGTGCATTTAGTACCTATATAATCTATAGGGGACTAGGACGGTGAGCCGACAACCGACGAGCCGACAACCAACGAGCCGACGGCCGAAGAGCCGTCGGCAACGTTGGGTATTATTATTGCGATAAAGATATTATATCCAAAATTTCCAAATTATATCGATATTTATCAAAGCAATTATTTGAGATAAGATATCGAACCAGTAATATACATCATACAACCGAAGAGCCGATGTGTTATTCTCTGATGTAATATTGAATCAGTGAGGTTTGTGCCTTCGTCGTATTTTATTTTATAATAATGGAGTGTTATTTGTTGAACAACAAACTTATTATAAATGGCTATGTTATGGTCCGAAATAAAGTGCGTGAAAATCGGTACAACTGGGAGTGTGAAAAAAGAAACCATAGAAAAACTTTAGAAACACATGAAAATTGTAATGCCAGAGCTACGACTGATTGTGTCAATGGTTTACATACATTTCGTGGCACGCCTACAGATCATAACCGACTGGTTGTCGGCTCAACGTCGTGATTCCAATCTATAGGACGTTCCATTAAACTTAACAATGTTAGTGTATACAATTATTATACCCAGTGGGTTTCATCTTGTACAATAATAATATTTTAGCGAAATATCCATGCATACTGTCGTAACCTCGAATAGTCTTAAATTAGTTTAATCGAAAGTTACACTTGTTAACTTTGTTACACTTTACAAAATATTATGTTGTAGGTATTCGAGCGCTTACGTCTATTCACACGTCAACTCGCAGTATATAGGACAAGTACTATTGTTGTTAGACTTTGACTATTATACAATATCGTGTTATTATTTTTATCGATCGGTTCTGTTAACCACCCAATTTTATATTATTATAATGTTATATTTATAATAATATTATACACTCTGACTTTTTCGATTGAACATTATTGAATTCAATGGATGAAACAATTATTTTATATACGTCTGCCCCGAATGATGTCGTGTCTAAACATTCATACACAAAACCTTTATACACAATATACAATACCTACTTCATATTATATACAAATACGGAGTGACACAGGTCATGGAACACGAACACCCCAGTAGACTCGGAAAACTCGTAACAATATTTTCAACAATAATTGTTTTTAACGCAGTGGAGATTTTTTTTATGATTTAATATTATGTTATAAAAAAATGTCATGGGAGGCAATTCTAGGGTCAAATGGGAGGCAATTCGGGAACGCTCGATTTAGGAAGGGGTGCTTGGGAGCTGAAACCGCTTCCACATTTGTACTATAAATTACTTAGATAACTGCACTTCTGCAGTTATCTCGTATTATAGAACTAATCAGTTAATTGTAGACACTGCTATAAATAGGTAACATTTTTTTTACCTCTAAGTTATTCAAGTATTCTCAAGTATTTTAAAGGATTCCATTCAAGAATACCTAATAAGGAGAGCATTATTATTATAAAAATATGGCCCACCATAAAAAAAATCCCAAAATAGCCATATACTACGCATAATCTATTTTGTATTATGGTCGAACGTCGATTTCTCAGAGTTTCGAGTCCGAATTACCGCCGAGATGTGGAGAATTCTAGACAGGGCGCCACCGAATTGGCGAGAGTAAAGGCTGCACTCAGATCGCGACCGACGAAGTTTCCCGAGCCCCATGACCCAGCTGGAATATTGAGGTTTGCGCTGTGCAAAATCAACCACGCCGAACAGTGCGCGGAGGTGGCGGTCGGCGAAGGGACTGATGACATGTGCTGCGGATGCTGCAGAGGGGAGGGAGCCGAAATGCTGGGTTGCGGAGGGGAGGAGGCCGAAATTCTGGGCTGCGGGAGCTGCAGGGGTGAGGCGGCGGTGTGCATCGCCGAAGCTCTATACGTGTTGAGCTTTCGAGAGGCCGATGTGATGTTGGCGCACGCCAAGCGCATACTGCCGGAGGAAACTTACCGTCTGGTGTGTGACAAGTACGCCGAACTCAGGAAAAATTACCGTCGATAAGTAATATGTAGTAAAAATGTCGCTGTTAAATAATAATAACAATACGTACGCTGCCGAAATTATATGCACTGCATGATGCCTTCTTTTCTATATTATATTACTCATATATTTTTACTCGGTACTTGAAGTAGCTGTTATCGTCCTACCACATACGACATACCGTTAATATAATAATAAATCGTTCGCATAATATATTCATTTTTAATTATAAAAAAAAAAAAAACACTGACCAAGTTTTTAAAAAAATCGTATTATTTAATGTATGATTTCGGTAAGTAAATTAATATTGTGTCAGGACTGCGAAGGAGTCTTGCAAAATTCTGAAATATCAGATAAAATGTATTCAAAGGGATCCTATTCCCTAAGCTTTGCTTACCACCACATGAACTATGCCAAATATAGTACTCGAGGAAATTTGGTGCAGTACAACTACGTAGTTTCAAGTTTGTCTCCCCCATTTTGAAAACATCCCACATTTTTTCGTGAGCTTCAGAGATAAGGTCCACAAAGTTGTACTTATGGTTAACTTGACCATGATGATAATAATCTACCTCTTGAAAATGATTGTACAATTCCACAAAGTTGTACTTATGGTTAACTTGACCATGATAATAACTTACCCCCTCTTGAATATTATTGTACGATTTTCCAAGAGTCCGAAAATATTATTCGTCGGCCCAGGCGGAGCGATAACAGACCATACCAGTACCTTTTACACTACACCGAACAGTGACTGATTTTTAGTGGAAATCATCCTCTGAGCACCGCAGATACCCGTGGTAGAATTTCCCCCCCCCCTACCACAACGACAGTAGATTTTCCTTGATTGTCCATTTGGGTATATCGATTAATATTGTACATATAACTACACCCCGAAACGAATTAACAGTGTCTATGAGAGCAAGGCTGGTGACTTCAAACCTCATTAGGTTCAATAATTAATGTTGTCCAAGTAATTTATGTCCAATACGCATTTATGTAAATTACTAACAAATTACTATAGAACGAAATTGCGATTAATCGAGATTGATACGATTACGACCACTTGAAATGGATATAAATGTATTGGGTAGATGAATAACAACCAACAATAACAATCCCACCACTCAAAAAAAAAAAATGAGTATTTTGAGTTAAGCCAAGTCACTGTATATTATTATTATATATAATATTATATAATTGTAATAATAAAAGAGTGTACGTCGTAAAACTGACTGTACATAAAAAAAAAAAATAATAACAATATTAAGGGTTATATTAAAGGGGAAGCGTAAATAATTTCTAGAAAAAATGTTTGTTTAAATATCGATAGGTACGAATTTCTGTATCAGTAGTTTTATATGGCGACATACCCAAACGTTTACATAGGTAATATATATCATCAAATATATTATATTAACCCTCGAATATCGCTACAATCGATTTACACGCCACTAAAATACACGTATAATATAGGTAGGTATATACTATTATACAGTAGGTAGGTAATAATTTTACGATCGAACTAATATTGTACAATATACTGCGCAACCAATATGCAATTAAAATGAGAGTTTAGAAGACAACTTTGACTTGCGTTAAAGACCAAATAACCACAAAAACAACTAAGTGTATAATAAACGTATAGACTGAGTATAAAAATTGATTTTTGTACAAAATATTTCGTGTTAAATGTACATTTAAAACAGTTGCATGTCATTTAATCTAATCTAATCTGTTCTACAAACCATTTATAATTTGATATAAAAATCATAATGTACACATATTTTTCTAACTACAATGACGTAGATATTAGAATACTGTCATTTTACTGTCCAATTACTCGGTACGTTTCAAATATTTTGAAATTAAGTTATGATATTGTTTAAATAAATTACAGTCATGTGTAGGTACAATATTGGTAATAAACTATGTTTTTCAATCTGAAATAATTTTGTAATGGTGTATGCTTTTTGAATTATAAAATATAATATATTATAATTGTATCGACTAATTATCTCGTAATTGACGCTAAATTATATTGTATCGTATAACATTATTTTGAACTATTAAGAAAAAAGAAATTGTGTATACCAACAAGATATCGTATTTTAATTTTAATTAATTCGTATTGGATATTTCTGAACTAAAACAAAAATATATATTTTATATTAATTAAATATATTTGCTTTACAATATTGACATGTAACTCGGCAAGGGGTGGCATTTTTATTCGGGCAGTAACGGTGCCCGGTGAGAGACGCCCCCCCTCTCGGGCATGGCAGATACCTATACTGGTGCCCACTTAAAAATTCTGCCAAAAACAAACACACATGTGTTCAAAACCTACAGTACCCTCCCCCACAGTTCCACAGGCGAATGACCTCAGTTGTCAAAGCCTCAACCCCCCCAAAAAAAAAAATTCCATGTGCATAATATTTACATGTTTTTAATTATTTAGCGGTGAACACATTTCTTTAGTAACAGTAGGTCGGTGTAGCATCTTTATATAGATTGGAAATCGAGTCTAGATGGTACATTATTCGTCGAAAAATATTGAAGAAAAGAATCAACAGGCGAATTTATTTTTGAATGCCATTAGCATCTATTAAAATTGAGTTATACAACACAATTTTGTGAAGAGTTGAACAAAGAGAGATGAGTGCCAAGTATATTGTAAATGCAGAATTCTATCCTCTTTTTTTTTTCATTATAAATCCAATGAGGAAAAAATGACCAAATTATCTAAAATATTATTCACTTATGCAATAGTTCTAACAGGTTATGAATATTAGACGTAACTATTGCACACTACATTGTACACTCTACTTTTAATTTTTAGACAGCACAATGTATTTTTAAATGTATTCATACATCTTGCTGTATAGATAGTTTTATACTTTAATTAATATTAAGTATATAATAATGAAGAAAATATTATGTATGTAGCATTGTATCTATATAGTAAGTAAACGACATAATTATTCTAGTAATAAAATAATTTCCTATTAACAAAATATTTTCTTTTAAGGAATCATTTGCACGACCCACAAAATAAATGCTCATAATTTATTACGATACCTATAAATTTAAATTATTGATTCCATGATTATAGTTAAATAATTAAAAAACGGCACAATTTACTGAAGATTATTGTAAAATAATATTGTGTCCTGGAAACAATGTAATCCCACTGGCCCTAAATATAAGAATATCGAATTCATATTATTTTAAAGTTGGCTCATGATAAATCATATACCTGCCTATGATATTACACTTTATAGCACATTTTCACTTCAAAATGCTAAATACCTACGAAACCTCACGTCATTTTGAACAATTATTTTCAGAAAATACACCGAGTCTACGAACAGATTAATGGGAAAAACTGTTGAAACTAAATTGAAAGTTCATATAGGTATTGAATAAGAGATAATGTTTTTCTACAGTTTAATAAATACTGGAGAGCTGCAGCTACTAATAAATCGATCATTTTAATGGTCGGGGATGTAGGGGAAAACAAATTGCCTGCAGAAACGAATATTTTAAGTTTGCAGTTTCGTAGTTTCTTGATAGTGTAAACTCTTACAGACTTAACCTTTGTAGTTTGCACACAGATGCATAAGTCGTAAAAAATTCACAACAGTCAACAATAAAATCGCCATTGCTACATCATTTGTTACCTCGTAAACCATATCTCACGAAAAATTACTAAGAACAATAAAATTAACATTGAAGTCTCAATATTTTCAAGACCAATAAATTTCTTAAAAAAGTATAACTCATGCATCATTTTTTTGTTATATTTTCTGAAAACGGCTAAAATCAAATACAATGGCACAAGTTTAATAGAAACATAATACAGTTTAAATTTTATTCCGTAGTGCTAAACGAAACTATTGATTTCTGCGCAATATTCATTTTTTTTTTTAGAAATAAACACTTTTAAGATACTAAAAAGTTATGTAACAAATGCATTTTATTTGAAATTGAGTAGAGAAAATACTTAAAAATGTTAGAGAAATTTTGTATGTCCTATTCATTCCTATAGTTTCTATGTACCAAAGCACATAAATCTAAAAAAATATGTTAAAATGGGCATTGAATCCCATAATTATATTCGATTATAATTAATTAAATAGAATACACTCACCCGAGAAACTTTAGATAATTTTAGCTCCGATTTAATTTGTCACTTCTCTTCAGGAATATACAATACGAATATCTAAAAATCATAAAAAATAAATATATTAAACATTAAAACAACATTAACATCTTTTTTTATTATATTACCTATAAATAATAAATATGTATAAATTGAAATAAAGAAACATGTTTTGCACATGAATATGTTTAAGAGAGCAGTTGTGTGTTCCACTGTTAATGTTAAATAATATATAATATCATATTATTTTATGTAACTCGACGTACTTCTAGAACCGCATGAATATTTTATAGGAAAAATAATTCTAATCAGGGTGTTTTTTTTCACATAAACATAATAAATAAATAAATAAATAATACTATTTTTAAATTAATAATTAAAATTACTAATTATATTTTAATTTTCGAGTAGTTAATAAAGTGTTAAAATGTCACATACAATTACAATTTTATTTATAGGTAGGTAGTAGGTACTTCTAGAATAATATGGTTGGTAAAAATTGTTGATAGTATGTAAAGAACGTAAAAGGATATGAATAATGTAGGTACTATTCAATTATTTTATAACTTGAAAAAGAATAATAGATATATGCAATTTTGAAATTATTTTCTATCCTAACCTATTTTGAACTAAACAATTAAATTATACCAAGTGACGTTTTAACTTCAAAAAAAAAAGTGATTTTTAAACTTTTAAACACAATTAATGATTTTATGTCAAAATACTGAACATTTCACCTTTACTTTTCTACAGTATTTGTAATGATTTTTCCTCGTACTATTGGCAATTTTGACAAACCCGAAAAATACTATCCATGATAAATTTTTAATTGATAGACATGTATGAAACTTTCAGA